TCATCGCCCAACCTTCATTCAGTAATACTTCATCTCACACTTTCATTATCTCGACAAACGTCAGCTTCACTTCATCGACTGCACTATACAATCACTTACAATCTTTAACCATCACCACACCAACGGCACAAAAACACCACAAACAACCTTCAAAATGGAATCCTCCAACGTAATCGCCTGGCTGCTTCCCTCATCCACAAACCAGCCAGCCCTCGAAGCAATCCGCATGCCCCAAAATGCAACCCGGACCGTCTCCACGATCCCCTCATCCTACGAACCCATCATCCAAACACCAAACCCAAACCAACTCCCGCCCACAACACCAACAATCGATCCCTCCCTCCTCACCAAATCCTCCTTCTCAAGCCTCGAGGCATCTCTCACCAAACCCCGCCCAGCCCTCTCCCTAACCTTCACATCGCCCCCCAAATCCAACCCAGGCTTCGTCCTCGGCACCGACCCTGCTCTTGCAGACATCCTCCTCCCGTCCCTGCCCGGTATCGCCCCAGCCCACTGCCACATCACCTTTGACGCCTCACACCGCCTCGTCCTCGTCGACACCTCGCACACCGGCACGGCCGTCTGGTACGACGGCGCCAGCTCCGGCGACCGCACCCGCGAGTCTTGGGTTCTCGGCGCGGGAAGCAGCTACGGGTTCCCCTCAATGGTCGACCGCGTCGTGATCGACATTCAGACCGTACGGTTCCAGGTCATCATCAACGAGGCGCACGTCCTCCGGCCAGAGGTCTACAAGGAGAACGTCGAGACTTTCATGTCAAGCCTCGAGAGCGCCGGCATCATCGCAGAGGCGGCAGCAGCAGCAGCGACGCCAGAGGAAAAAACACCAGACCTCGACGCAAGCATCCTCGCCTCCATCCTCGCCAACCATTCATACTCCTACTCTCAAAAGGAAGACCAGCAACTCGTCCGCCGCGACGAAAAGGACGTCTGCGACTTTTACTACAACTTCAACTTTGACCTCGGCTTCGATCTGAGCTACGACTGCGACTACGACTTCGACTACGACATGTCGGACGACGAAATGGTCGACGACGTCGCCGAGGAAGAAAAGATGGACTTCCTCCCGCCGATTCCCTCCGTCGTGCCGCCGGCGTACGTGAAGTACCTGCTCACCTCGGACGACGGGGCGCCGCCGGAGACGTATCTCTGGAACACGGCGAAGCCTTGGGAGCCCATGGTCAAGGTTGTTTGCTGAGCTCGCCCTTGACAGGGGGGGATTCATACGTTTTTGTCTCGAGACTTGAGACAAAAAAAGGACTAAGCGTGAAAAAAAGACGCAGAGAAAAAAACTTGTGTAAAATCAGGTTTCTTATGGAGTACATTTTGTCCCAAAGGTGCTGGCACTGGACGGCGTTTGATTCTCATTCATTGCTTTGGAGTTTTTGGTGGGAGAAATATCGGCGCTATCATCAGCGCTTCACACTCATTTGTTTTGCCCCCTTTACAGATTGGCAATGTTTCATTTCTCATTTAATTGCACATTTTCATTTCGTCTGTTTCGTTGTACATTTAGAACAGATACCCCCATTCGCATGGCCTCCCGTTCCTTTGTTTATTGTATATAAGATGAAGCATCAACCCAAGAAAAGAAGAAAAAGTTTAGCTGGCAGGCATCGTTCGCATTCTTCCACTTCGCCAAGTCTACCGCAAGTGAGCAGAGGGGGGGGGGGGGTGAGTCTCGAGAGATTTGGGATCGCGACGTGAGGATTATCCCGCGGAGACGACACTCGGCACTCACCCTCGCCACATTTGGAGATCTCCGGCAACTACCTTGAGCGCGGTAGGGCGAATGCTGGGGTTGGAGTTTGGGGGAAGCGGGCAGCGCCAAAAAGCAACGGGCGGGCTAACGAGGCCAGACCTACGACCTTATCTACCGCCCAATCTTATCTCCAGACTTTCGACCATGTGCGTTCGCGCCGATCTGTTTCTCCGCGGGCTGCAGGATCGGGACGATGTTCACTGAATCTATTGGGAGAGTTGAGATATGGATGGAAATGGCGTTTGTAGAAATATTCATATCTAGAGTACCTCTGCCCCCTTAGACCTTAGAATCCAAATGTTGGAATATCGATGACTTCTCGCCCTCCTGCCGGTGCTCTTGACAAACATTCTCACCGCAGATAGATAAGACACAACACTAACGAGAAAATGGTCTCAGACGACGGTGAAACCAACGAGAATAGCCCCCTCCTCCCAACATCCCAAACCAGACAGTCCAGCTCAACACCATCGCACCAACCCTCACTCTCCAAAGCAGACCAAGCCCTAGGCCAATCGCCCCCTCTAGGCGACCGCCTGCCCTACAACGACTACACCACCATCGACTGGCTCCGCGATTTGACAAAGGACTCCTCCCGCGCCCGTCGCCTCCGCGCACGCTCAGGTATCCGCGGCACCGCAGCGCGCTGGTTCGACCAGTGCCAGGGTTGGATCGCCGCCGCGGCCATCGGCGCGCTCACGGCCCTCGTTGCCTTCATCGTCGACGTCTCCGTGGCGGCGGTGAGCGATTGGAAGGAGGGGTACTGCAGGACGAATTTGTTCTTGGACCGTGGACGGTGTTGTTGGGGGGTGGGAGAGACGGAGGTTTGCGATGCTTGGAAACCTTGGGTGGATGAGGGCGAAGGAAGAGGGTACGTCGCTAGCTATGCAGTCTACGTGCTGTTCGCCCTCCTCTTCGGCATCGTCGCGGGAAACGTCACCATGACCACCAAAGCCTCCCTACCCTCCGTCGACGCCGATACTGCCGTCACAGCAGGTGCCATGACGGAGGGCAAGACGATGTACATGGCCGCCGGCAGCGGGATCCCCGAGATCAAGACGATTCTATCGGGCTTCGTGATTCCCCACTTCCTAGACTTCAAGGTCCTGGTCGTGAAAGCCGTGGGCGCAACCTTTGCCGTGTCGACGGGCATGTGTCTGGGCAAAGAGGGTCCTTTTGTCCACATCTCGACGTGCGTCGGGTGGCTGGTGGCCAACCGGTTCCCCAAGTACAGGGACAACCCGCGCAAGATGCGGGAGATGCTGAGCGTGGCATGCTCTTCTGGCCTGTCCGTCGCTTTTGGTGCGCCGATTGGCGGTGTGCTGTTCAGCTACGAGGTATGTTGTTGATTGTTTTGATGTGTCTGGTCTCGTGGTTCCAATCGGACTGGGGTTGATGATGTTGACGAAACCCATTAATTAGGAAATCAGCACGTATTTTCCACGACGCGTATTGTGGCGCGCGTTCCTGTGTTCGCTCATCGCGGCCATTGCTCTCAAAGCGCTGAATCCCACGGGAACCGGAAAGCTGGTGCTCTTCGAGACGAGCTACGGGGTCGACTATGACCCGGTGCACTACTTGGTGTTTGTGATGCTGGGTGTCTTTGGCGGCGTGTTCGGCGGAGTATTCTGCAAGGCCAACTTTCTTTGGTCCAACCGTTTCCGCAGATACGACATCGTCAAGAAGCATCCCGTGCTCGAGCTATGTTGTGTCGTATTGGCCACCGCTCTGCTGCAGTACCCAAACGTGCTCATCCGCGACACGGGCGACGTGGCACTCTCGAGGCTACTAATTGACTGTAAGGAGCCAGACGGTAACTGGATATGTCAGCAGGAGGGAAGCAACGACAAGAGATCGTACATGCTGCAGCTTGCAAGCGGCACGGTCATCAAGTTGCTCCTGACTATCATCACCTTTGGATGTAAAGTCCCCTCTGGCATCATCATCCCCGCTCTCGACGGCGGCGCTCTTTTTGGACGATTGGTGGGTCAGTTCGTTGGTGGGATCTCACCCGGTATTTTCGCAATGGTCGGCGCGGCGGCCTTCCTCGCGGGCGTGAGCAGGATGACTGTGAGCTTGGCTGTTATCATGTTTGAGCTGACTGGCGAGGTGACGTACGTGCCAGCCTTTATGTGTGCCATCCTGACCGCCAAATGGGTGGCGGACGCGATCTCGGGGGAATCAGTGTACGATCTCTCGCAGCACCTGCTGGGCCACCCCTTTCTTGATGCGGAGCAAGCTCACGAGGTGGTGCGGAAGCGCGAAGCCACCGCCCGTGAGCTGGTTCCTCCGGCCGGGACAATGGAGGAGATTACTCTGTGGGTGGGCAGCCAGTACCGCGTCCGTAGGGATGTGCTGGCGGAGAAGCTGCGGAAGCTGAAGGCCAGGGGACTCATGGATGCGGGCCTCGTTCTTGTCAGTGACGCTGGACTGCTGTTCGGCTATCTGCCCGAGGCAGAAGTAGAATATGCGGTGCTGACTGGCGGCGAAGCGGAGGAACTTGATTTGCGGACTGGCGTCATGACTGAGTTGGTTGACCGAACGCCGCTCACAGTCTGCGCCGAGGCCCCGATGGAGCACGTTTTGGAGATGTTCGGGAAGTTGGGCCCTAGGTACATCATCATCCTTGAGCCGGAGACATCGAAGGTCCTGGGCGTTGTGCTTAAGAAGCGACTGCTGGACTTTCTGGATCGGGCGAAGGCATCTTGATACATCGGCCTGAGTCACTGTAGAGTCTTGGAATTTAGCGCAATAAAACCAAAAGCCTTAGTTCTCCTACCCTGTCGTTTCTTTTCTGGCCGGCAATCTGGGTTTGAATGGCCAGTTGCTTAGCTTTGTCTTTAGAGTACCCCGTGCTCACGAGCCCTCGTAGGATATTCGTCTGTAACTCTGTTGTGTGCTTCTCCCACTGCCAGGGCGCATGATGGCGATTGCCCCTTCCACTTCCGCACTTCAAGACACTGACTTCTCGTGATGTGCTCTCCTCGCAGATGCAGCGCTCTTCGCCATGTCGATCCCTCGTACCACAGTAAACTTTCCTCATCATCATTGATAATTGGAATCGCAAAAAGACGTGAATTCGGCTCGATCTATGACCCTCGCGGCAAGGTTCATCCCATGCTGCCCTTTTCTGGCCCCCCGATCCTCAAATAACAGGTTATGTACACAGACGCTCGCCGTCCCAGGCTCGTTTCGTTCGTCTCGTCCCGTTGCCGCCACTCTAATTGCTTCTCGTTCCCTTCTCCGCGCGGAGCTCGTTCATTTTGGCGACACGCTTCTTGAACTCGTCGTATTGGCACTTCTCGTAGCTGTGGCGCTCGTCCTGTTTCGATTGGATTCTAGGTTAGCGACAAACTGTGTTCTCGGATTGATCGGACGGGTCGATTGAGAGGTCGAGAGGGAGGCCGGATAGGGGCGGATGGTAGGGGCGAGAAAGACTAACATTGCACTTCCACGGAAGGTACCAAGTGTCGACACGGCAGCGGTTGAGGGGGATGAGGAGACCGGCGCAGCTGTCGCGGTAGGGGAGGGGGAGCTTCGCCTCCCGCATCTCCTCGCGGGTCGCTTCTGGGGAGGGATGTCAGCCATTGCGGGTGGGTTGATAGCATGGGGGAGATTATGGGGATACGGACCCCTTGGTGCTGAGTCTCCGGCCATTGTGACGACGATTTGGGGCTGTAATGGGCGAATGAGGCTATCGTCGATGGTCAATTGGGATTCTGGATCTTGAAATGTCGTCGGAGCTTTGGATTGGATTGTGGAGCTTCCGACGGTGAATTCCCTGGTGGCCTGGATTGTGAGGCTAAAAGCGGTTGATTACCTTTTGGGGCGTTTGATTGGTTGGGTGGGTTCATTACCAGCACGGTCGCGCCAGAGCCAGGAAGCCTCCTTTTCAGTCCTCTTCCATGTCTCTACCAACTTGAACTTTATTACACTACATACATACTGCACTACAGAGTACTTTACACCGGGTTTTACATTGCCGGGCGCCTTTACAAGCTCTAAGTTGTAGCTGCTTACACCCTTAACTCGACGACTTGTACGCACTCTTCATGTACCTACAGTACTCAGTCTCTACGCAACCAACCACATAACATAGCATACCCGCTTCCCGAACGCGATAGTCTCTTTATCTGGTTATCTACAAATCCCTGATTCACTGATAAGTTGTGTGGTGAATGGCGAGGTACCCAAGTAAAATCATCCGTGGGGTGGTGGTGAGCGCAACCCTTCAAGCCCGCCTGCAGCAACGTAACATTCCCTGAGTCGATCGTCGGCAGCGGCCTTCAGTCTATCTAACCATTTCAATTCATTATCGATGAGATCTGTGCGGTATTTCTTCCCCCCAAGTACATACTTCTCAATGGCAGAACGTCTCGACGTTTCCACGGGAAAGATGTTTGCCTCTTAAGCCGAGCTGAGGGGCTCACCATCCGAGACTTTTCTGCACAAGAGCCGATCACTCAAAACCAACTCCTATGAATTCATCCAGAACCCCAAAACACCTTCCCATTGTCGCAGGTCGGCTCTTGGACCGGAGACAATAGTTCCTGCCGGAGTGCCGAGGCGTGCCACCCGACCTGGGGCCATCGCCATCTCCCAACGCTCACCTTCCGCTTCCGGCTAACCTGTCGGCCCACGCAACGAAGTTCTCATCACCTGCAAATGCCTATCAGAGACCGTAAAGCCGTTGTCAACCCGCCTACAACCCCCCGGTCTCATTATGGAGACCTCGTCGCATTTGGCCCTTGGGCCCCGTGCGATGCCGGGGTCGCACCGGGGCTAGTACCTTTCCCGCCAACACTTGGAAAGCTTGTTCCTGTTCACTGTTGCAATACTGTGAATGTCGACAATGTCAAGGCATGCGCTGTTGCATGGCATGCTGCTTAAGCGGACCCGATCATCGCTTCGTATTACCGTGAGATACGGGGTCTGCGCCCTGGACCCATGTACAACGCTTCTCTTAAAAGATGCAGCTCCCCCGCGGCCGTGATCATGGAGCTGGAATTCCTTCTTGGTTGACGAGCGTGCCAAGCCAGTCGTTCTGTGTTCTGAAGATCCTCGGCTCTCCGTCACCATGAAGGTCTCACTCGCCTTGCTCAGCTGCCTCGCGGTGGCCCAGGCCCATTTCGCCTTCCAACCCATCCAGCCTCCTCTGAGGGCTGAAGATGAAGAGGAAGGAATCCTCTCTAAGAGAGAAGCCGGTTTCTTTGAGCAGCTCATTGACCACAATGACCCATCTCTCGGGACCTTCCAGCAGAGATACTGGTGGAACTCCACGTACTGGGAGGGACCTGGTTCTCCGGTACGACTTGTCTCGCCTGATGCTGTGACCATCTCACTGACATGAATTGTAGGTGGTGTTCTTCACGCCTGGAGAATCAGAGGCTGCCCCCTACACCGGATACCTCACGGATCGGGCCATCACAGGAGCTATTGCCAAGGCAATCGGCGGTGCCGTCGTTATGGTTGAGCGTATGGAACTTGCCACAGACACTGGAGCAGAGCCAAGAAGACTAATGCTGCGCAGACCGCAACTGGGGAACCTCCCTGCCGTACGCGGTCCAAGACACCAAGAACCTCCAGCAGCATACCATGACGAATGCTGTCCTCGACTTTGCCAACCTTGCCCGCAACGTCCAGCTGCCTTTCGACAAGAACGGCAGCAGCAACGCCCCCCAAGCAGTGAGTATCGAGCCCAGGCCTTTGTCAAGTAGACCGACAAAACTGACGACCCGTAGCCCTGGGTGTATACCGGCGGATCATACTCCGGCGTCCTGGCCGCAGCCATCGCAAAGCTCGCTCCGGGAACCTTCTGGGCCTACCACTCCAGCAGTGGCCCTGTCGAAGCGACCTACGACTACTGGAGCTACTTCCTCCCCATCCAGAACGGCATGCCCAAGAACTGCAGTCGTGACTTTGAGCGGATCGTCGACCACGTGGACAACGTCTTGCTCACCGGCAGTGATGATGAGATCTACTCTCTGAAGAAGAAGTTTGGCCTCCAGGACCTTGCTCACAAGGAGGACTTTGCCTCGTAAGTTGAAGCCTTGGTTGTAATGGAGACTTTGGATCCGATTCTCACATCTGTGATGTCTATAGGGCTCTCGTAGGACCCCTTGGCTACTGGCAATCCATTCAGCTGTACTCGGGATACTCTGCCTTCTACGAAATGTGCGATACCGTCCAAGGCGCCATTGGTAACTTCTCGGCACCCAACGCGACGTACAGCGCAGACGGCGTCGGCCTTACAAAGGCTCTGAACAACTATGCCAACTGGTGGAGCACTAACTACCTCCCGGGAAGTAAGTAGCAGCCCTCCTGAAGTGTGTGTGTGTCTTGTCGGTGACTGACTCTATGCAGCTTGCGCATCCTACGGCATCGAGGAGTGGTCAGACCCCATGAACGTCGCCTGCTTCGACAGCTTCAACGCCACGAGCCCCATCTACACCGACTGGAGCGCCGAGAACCCGTTCGGCCGGACCTGGTACTGGATGACCTGCAATGAGCCCTTCTTCTACTGGCAGACGTACGTTTACGGCTCAATGATACTCGTTGAAGTGCAAGAGAGCTTCATGACTAACTGTGAATAGCGGTGCTCCCAAGGATCGTCCCTCAATCGTCTCGCGCTTCGTTACACCGGAGTACTACCAGAGCCAATGCGACCTCTTCTTCCCCAGGCAAGGCGAGTTTACCTACGCCTCCAACGCAGGCAAGACCGCCGCAGACCTGAACAAGGCGACGGACGGCTGGTTCTTCACTAACACCACGCGCCTCATGTGGTCCAACGGGTAAGCCATTCCATCGTACCCAGAAATTAGGGAAAGCGTGACTAACGTTTCCATAGCGAGTTCGACCCTTGGCGCTCCGCCTCCGTGTCCAGCGAGCTCCGTCCCGGCGGCCCGCTCAAGTCCCGCCCCGGCGCGCCGGTCCACCTCATCCCGGGATCCCGCCACTGCAACGATTTGCTTGTGAGAAACGGCGCTGTCAATGAGGATATGCAGGAGGTCATCACTGCTGAGGTTGATCAGATGAAGGCTTGGGTTGACACATTCTATGCCTCTAAGGGCAAGTACAGACGCCGCTCTACACGGTCTCTGTGAAGAAGGCCGAGCGGTATTACGGTGCACTCGAGAGATTCCTTCCATCTTCTAGAGTGATTTCTGTCTTTGAATACATGCAGATACTAGTACCTTGTCTAGTCGAACACAAGCTTGACACAAGTCTGCTCCTTTTAGCATCCTAGCGTGAACTACTTCTTCAAATAACGCTCCGTCAACGCAAAATCAAACCTTGTTTCCGTCGCCGCCTTTTGTACAGCTGCCGCCCACAACGTCGGCATCCAATTCGCTTCCACTTGCCTTCTTAGCAATCGGTCCATCTAGGTCCCCTCAAGTAGAGAGGCGACAGGAAAGCATACCAGCCGGCTCATAGAATTCTTGTAACCCCTTTTCGAGGCGTCTTCAAGATATATCAACCAAGGAATAAAAAGATGGTGGGGGCAAAGGTTGAGGTAAGGTCATCAATAACAAAAGCAGTAAATACCTAAGTCACAGTGAGACTGGGGAAACCTCTTCAAGACAGCAGTAAAACATGGAACTAAGAAACACGGAATCGATCTAGTGACCACCGTGACAAAGCTTCGAATGCTGAGTCTATCATCAATTTCATCCGTATCAACGTTAGACATGGGACACTGAGGCTCGTAGCAAAGGTAATCGTAAACAAAACAGGTCTTGAAATTCTATGAAACTTGGAAGCTAGACTAAAGTTCTACAGACACTCCTGCTATCTAATGCGCTTTATGTCATCAGGCTCCTCCTCCTCCTCCTCCTCAGAGGCCGAGACTTTTCGTAATTTAGGCTAACAATAACGTTTACCAAGGCAAATCAGTGCCATCGTGGTTCTTGAACGATCCGCTGATCTCTCTGGTAGCCTTGTCAATAGTAGCAACCATATCATCCACACTCTTTTTGACAGGAATGGCACCGAAAGCACTAAGGTCAGCGCCGGTCTGAGCCGCCAAACCAGCAGCCATATCCGTCTCGACCAGACCAGGGTGGAAGACAAAGGCAGTCAACCACGGCTCCTCAAAGTGCAACCGGCGCACGAACCAGTTGAGCGCAGCCTTTGACGCACCGTATGGGCTGACGGGACTGGGGATCTGGAAAATCGTCTCGGCGAGGCCGTTGCTGCCGATCACGGAGGAGATTGCGACAAAGATGGGGTTCTTGGACTTGCTCTCCTTGAGCAAGGGCTTAGTGGCGCCGAAGAGGACGAGGGGCGCGACCGAGTTGACGGCGAAGTGGTCCAGGGCGACCTTGGTGGAGGTGGCGGCGACGTCGGCCGAGGTGTGGGAGATGCCGGCGTTGGCGATGACGACGTCGAGGGCCGTGATGCCGTGCTCCTTTTGGATTGTTGCTACAGCGGCGGCGGGGTCGGACTCGACTGAGGAGTCGATCTTGACGACGATGATCTTGGAGCCTTCGGCCTTGGGGAGGTCGTAGAGGGCCTTTGAGGCTGCAGCGGCTGGGTCGCGGACGCCGACGATGATTGTTGTTGAGGGGCGCTGTAGGAGGAGGGTGGTGAAGCCCTTTCCGATTCCACGGTTGGCGCCGGTGATGAGGTAAGTGAGTCCGGAAGACATTTTGGAAGTTGAGGTTATAAAAAGAGAAGGGTTGCGGTTGTAGTTGAGTTAGTCGATGTTGAGATGGAGGCTGTGGAAGTTGAGATGTGATGAGGATTCACTCCAACAGCAGAACGAGGCCAAAGAAGACATCTTAAATAACTTGTGTAGATCCATCGTTCGAGTTGACACGTTCATAGTTTCTGATGAACTGACAAATGCAGCATCACATCTCATGCTCGCACGCCTTGTGGAGTAGCCTATCTTCGAAGGGAATCGAAGTGTTGCAGAACACCACTCTCAGGGTTCATCTCCACTCAATTTCGGGGCCGAGCATAGCGTCTGAACAGATTGATAATCGTGGTTCGGATGGACTGCAGTTTCGGGAACGGCAGAGTTCCTGTCGCAGTATCAAAAGTCTGGGCGTGTGTACTGTTCACTAATCCAGAAACACGGCTACGAGCTAAGAATGATATTGGGATTAGTAGTGCGCGCCGCCAAATATGCGGGCTCAGCGCTCACCTGCATCATTACAAAGCATCAAACTATATCAAGAGTCTGTTCAATTACTTATTATTGATACTCGTCTGAAAGTCTCGAGGTCTGTTCCGGAGCGTTACGGGCTTTGTCATTCCGATAAGATCATCTGAGCCAGTCAAGATCATAAAGTTCCCGTTAGCGAGCTTCTCACAAGTAAGACGACGAGTTTATTGGTTCACCCTTAAAGGATTTAGGTTACTTCATGTCGTTCATGGCAAGCATTGTCACCATAGCACGATTCATCCAATTTTGGTAGCCTAGATGGAGAATGTAACATTGGGATGTTCAGACGAGTACAAAACCATCACTGGCGCCTGTTCCAAGATTCAAAACTTGAGCGTATATTTTGGAATTGCATTCCTGTACCTCAAAAAATCTTCATCCGATTTAATAAATTCAATTCGATCATGGATGCTGAATCTTTGATGTTCGACGTAAACAACTGGGTTTCAGAATTACTCGTGTCTAATGTATTGATAGCTGCCTCTTTCTAAGATATTCCTCGTGGGATGCTGAGGAACTGATTTCGTCCTACGCTACAGCACCTGTTCTTTCGTTCACCTTGTCCTATCAAGTAAGGGGCCTTCTTGGCTGAGACTCCGAGCTTTCTCAGAATATCTTAAAGCGGATGATCCCAAGTTTATCAGAATAGCTTGGAAGTTGGAAGCGTAAGCTGTGAGCATTTTCAAGCTGTATCAAGGCATCGCCCATTACTAAAGATTAGTGATCAACCCATGCCGCATCCGTCAGCCCCGCCACTCCTTCAATTCGTGTTCACTAATCACCCTCACTTGGCCATTAACAAATCCAGACGGTCCTCTGCCTCGGATTGCGCAGCAGTTCTAATCGTAGTATTCAACAATGACTTCAGGGCAAGGCATAGCCAGAACTTCTAATCAGTATTTCCAACGGGCTTTTGCATGCTGTAGTAGGGTATATGTGGCGTTGATTGCTGCCTGCAATTAACGGCGTCGTTTTTGCGACATATGCTCGATCACCTCATTGCTGAAGAATGTGGTTACATCAACGTGCAACTCTCTTCTATCGATATGCCACCTCACGTCCACTTCTGGTCAACCAACCGTACACATAACACCGCAGCCCCCGCGGCGCAACATCCGAACAACGTCATCTGAAGTCCTTCCCATAGACATCGTGTCCGTGATGTCTTCCTATCGCCCAATAACCAGCTCTTTCCGGCTCCAAAGATGAACAAGGCAATGAGACAGACGATGATACTCCACAGAAGCCCGTGACCGACGCTCGAGGCGAAGAAGTACGGCAACAGGGGCATAATCCCACCACAAAGATATCCGATAGCGATTGACAGGCCCGAAAAGATTGGCGATATCAGCAGATGGCTCTTGTCGACGTTTTCAATTTCAACAAGAGCGTGGAGTCGGCTAGCTTGGGTGCCATTGATTCTCTCCGAAGCCCAGCTTAACCCTCCCGGCCGGGACCTCACGGCCCCAATCACCATCGCGACGGTTGTCTCAGGTAAGCCCAGTGGCTGGAGATATCGGAGCACTGTTTCCTCTCCGTCTATCGCTCCGCCTGTCAGGCTCTTCTCGTCATCGATTTCGTCCTCGCTGTGTCTTCCTGCCGACGACAGCATGCCCTGTTCTTCTTCATCTACCGGTGATGGTTGCACCGTTGACGAGTCATTATGTGAAGAGTCCCGCGCTGCCAAATAGCCACCAATTCCCATGCTGATGCATCCCGCGCATATCTCCGCGAGACCGGCGTAGATGACCGTCTCGCTGCGGCCAAGGGAACTGAGACCGGCGGTCAAGGCGAATGGTACTGTAAGGCCATCTGAGAAGCCGAGCGTGAAGTCTGAGAGGAAACGAGAAAGCTTGTGAGAGACCATCGTGGAGGCGATGTATGTGTTCTGCGAGTTGGGGAGTTTATTTGAGCGAGGGGTTCACCACCCAACACTTTGAAAGGGGCTTGTCGGGCTGAATCAAGGCTGCTAGGAATGGTGAACTGGGTTGTTGATTTGAGTGAAACAGATGAGATTTAGGGCAACTTCGCATTGAACTCCGGCGATCGAAACATAGAGTTGAGAGGTTCCAATCCAGAAGGATCAAGCTGTAGAGAAACGGGAGCAGAATCCTGGGAATGATAGACCGGCAAAGGACGGGCTGCATTTTGCCCCTCACACATGGCTCAGTCTCCCATTCATCAACGGTTCTGTCCACGCGCCGTTTCTGCGCTTCTTAGTGGACGATACAGCATAGCCACAACACAACCAAAAAGTCGGCTGAGAGATGCCGTGATACCCAAATGTTTCCCTTAGTGGAGAAATAGTCGGCATCGAAGTCGAAGAGGGGTGTGGGGGAGCAAGAAACATCTGTCAGGACACAAGCTTTCGCCCAGAGGCGATGCCAAGAGCGACCACGTGTGTGGAGTCCGGAGAATATAACCCCTCAATCTTGGGCCAATGAATCGAGACAAATTTCTCACCTTCCCGACCAGGAAGGACATTTTGGGCTCCTAATGCAGGGATAGCCTTTGACGATCTCTTCTCCACTCGACATTTCCCCTACTCGGGCCGTTGTCAATGAACATCCTTGTGGAACGACTCGTCGACATCACACGAGGGCTGATTCTGCATGCCGTGTACCATCCGGGTGACGAATTTTAGATACTGAGTGGTTGGTTTTGCTCGGCCAAGTCCGATGCCATTCCCGTTGCCCTCTCACTGAGCGGCGTTGTTCTTGTTATCTCTATCACTGTCGCGACTGTTGCTTCTGTCGTTCCAGGTACCTCTGGCGTCTCTATAGTCTATCATCTTGGATACATGGACACATTTTCGAGGACGTACACTTTAGAGAATTATAATAGAGATAATGATAAAGAGTAAGAAAAGAAAAGTGCTAAAGAGAACTAGTAAAGAAAATTAGTAAGGTTATAAGAAAGAATAGGCTTCAACAAGACTTCTTACTAGAAGTAAATCCTATAAGACCTATATATCTAGACTGTAATTGTATTATAACTTAATTACTTAGAGCATATTCATTCAAAGTCGTAATAATAAATTTATCATTACAATGCTAGTATCTACTCGGTGCTTTGTCCCGAGACTTTATGCCTTGTAGCCAGGAGGCGGGTTAAGTCCGTCCGAAACCTGAACAGTATCCTCGTAGTACGTAGGAGCTTTGCTGTCTTTCCAGGTCGCCTTGATGGACTCGAGAATCTTCCTGCCAGCTGCATTCTCGTCCAGAGCCAAGTTGGGCTTTGGGTACTGCTTCGCGGTTTTGCTGTTGAAGAAACCAGCATACGACTGGTTGAAGTAGCGGTCGGGCACTGTCGAGGTGTTGCTCCACTGACGAATGACGCTCTTGGTCTTGTCTGCGACAAACTTGTAGACGTTGGCGCCGACATCCCACCTTCCGAGGGTCGGGAGGTCCCAGTTGGCCTCAACTGTAGCAAGCTCAGAATAATGGTTATAGAAGTTCGAGTCCGTGGTGCCAACGAGCTCTTTAGGGATTGAGTCTCCTAAAAGAATGCCAAGAATGCGGTTCTTTTGCGTGTACGTCTCATTCTCGTCCCAAGTGACCAAAACCAATGTGTTGTTCATGAAGTTCTTATCCTCCAGCAGTGGCTCAAGGAACTTCCTGTTCCAAGCACCTGCAGTAGTGACAGACGCATCGTGACCGTCCGAAGTCATGTTCGGCGTGCAAAATAACCATTGGGGTAGTTTATTGGCCTTGAGGTCTTTGTGGAACTGTGATCGCTCCGGGTAGACCATGGACAGGTTCTTGACCTGGGACAGGCGCTGCTCCGAACTAGTGACGCTGTCAAAGAAGATTGGCGGGTTATGTTTGCGGACATAATCGTTAGCTCCGTTTTGTTGGTTCACCCATGCCATGCCTTCGAAACCTGAGAACGGCATGTCTTCCTGGTAGGCCGCCCATGAGATTCCTTGTGTGTCCAGGAGATCAAACACAGTAGAAACATTGCGATCGGCGCGATTGAAGTTATCGTTATTCATGCCCAGATAATCTCCAGAAACCGATGCAAAGTAGTTGGGCTCAGAAGGATGAGTGACGGCAAAGTTGTTGGACAGCGTGATGCCCTTCTTGGCAAGCCAGGCAAAGTTGGCTGCGACAGGTCAGATTCTGAGGGGATCAAGGGCTCAAGGAAGCACTAACGATCACCGATAGCCTTATCGTAATCGGTATTCTCATTCCAGATAATGACAAAGCGGTCGAAAGCCTTGCCTTTGACGTTGCTGGTTGGGCTGCTAGTCTTGGCTGTGGCAGCAGCAGCAGCGACAGCAGCGGTGCCGGTGGCAGTGTACCGAGTCTCCCAACCTCCAGAAGAGCTTGAAGAGGTCGCTCGAGCACAGAGAGGCGCTACGGCAGCGGCATGGGCGCCGGCCGCGAAGATAGCTGCGGCAACTGCGTAATGCATCGTGGAAGATGATGAAGCTGAAAAGGCCTTCAAACGAGCGGTTAAAAAAACGACGTGGCGAG